GGAGTTGGTGACGGACAGGGAGGTCTGGCGTGCTGCAGTTCATGGGGTCGCAAAGAGTCGGACCTGACTGAGTGACTGAACTGAACTGAACTGAAAGTGAAGAGGGGGTATAAACCCCCAGATGCACAAAAACTTGAAAGAGCTTTTCTGTTTTTATTTTCAAACATCAGTGAATGTTTGGAATTAAAGCATGCTGCTGGGAAGGCGGAGCTAAGAATTTACTTGTAAATGTTAAACCTGGGGGTTTTGGTTCGTGACCACTTCCCAACTCCTCTTAGACATGAAGGAAGGCTGTCTGTAGAACCCGAGGCAGACTGGATGCCCACCAGGCCTACGCCCACCTCCTCCTCTGCACAAGGGGTGTGGCTCTCTGCTGAGGGCTTCCTGGGGTCCTGCCCACAGGACAGCTGATGGGAAGCTTCTGTCTGAAGTGATGAGCTGATTCAGGGCTGAGCTACAAATATCTCTATTTCTAGAGACTCCCAGTGAATCTGACCAGAACATGACTCTCTTTACCCCTTGATCAAATCTAGATTTTAGGTCGATTTGGATCTCAAAGCATTTGAGGGTGTAGTGGAAAGAGCAAGAAGTTTGTGGAAATTCTGAATTTCCCTCCTGGTTAATAAGTTCCACTGAACTGACTGTGCCATCCTGGCCAAGATACTCCACTTTTTTGACCCCTGGTTTCCCCACGACTGCTGCTGCTGTGAGAAGGGATAATGTTAATGACTACTTTTTTTTTTTTTGGCTGTGCCTCGAGACTTGTAGGATCTCAGTTCCTTGACCAGGGATTGAACCCATGCCTTCTGCAGTGGGAAGCATGAATTCCTAACCACTGGACCGCCAGGGAAGTCTCTAATACCTATTTTCTTTTGATTGGTACATGCTAAGCACTAAATGGTGCTTTTTAAGGACATTATTTTATCTGGGGCTCAAAACAACCACATGAGGTAGATAATGTCAGTGCCTCTGTTTTGCGTAAGAGTAAACGGAGGCTCAGAGACTGAATCTGCTTGCGTCCTGCCCTACACACAGGAAGTGCGGCATAGGTAGATGTCTGTTTCAATGGCAAGACGGTTCTCTATAGCTCTGTTTCCTCTTGGAGGAAACAATGGACCTGAAGGGAGAATACAATGAAAAACGTTTTGGGTGGGAATGAAAAGAGAAGGCAATGAAGGCGAGCCTGCGGTGGGAGTGCCTCCCAGACCCCCAGCCTCTGGGGGAGGCTCCCTGCACTTGACATTAGAGAAGGTCCCGAGCAGAAAGGAAGATCCCGCCAGCCACACGCCCATGGGGAGGCCACTCTGCTAAACGCAGAACTAGGGAGAGAGCAAACAGGACACGCTGAGAACCTCATCTCTCAGGAAATCAGGGGACAGTGCTGCTGACCCGGGGGGACTGACTCCCAATCTGGAGGAACTCAGGGACGGTGGCGGCGACCAGATAAGGGACCTTGGGACAAAAGGCTCAGGTCAGCTGAGAGTCTGTAACAGGAGAGGGAGGAAACATGCAGTAGCCTGAATTTGAGAAGAACAGGCTTCCAGCCACCCATAAACAACAGAAGTCAGTTCCTGGGGCCAGAGATGGCGAAAGGAATGCTCTGACTCACGGGAGATGGAGATCTCTAATGTAGGAACCTGAAGGAACCAGCCGGAAGGGGTTCGATTAGGAAGGGCTGGGAAACAAACACCGCCCTCCTCCGCCACACACACCCCCGGGTCACATGGAGACCTCGGAGGAGCTCAGGTTCCCAACGGACTCCAATCAGGACAGAGCAGGAGGGGCAGGACTCTGGAGAGCAGCTGGAGGAAGTGAGGCCTTCTGGATGAAAGAAAGGGCCTTTTCTCCCATGCTGGGGCGGGCAGAAGGAAGGGAAGAAGGGGCTGCCATCTGGGCAGATCATCTGTCTCCAGCCTCGCCTGCTGGCACTCCCTGACTCCATGGAGAACAACAGCCTTGCGGCTGGGAAGGGCCGAGACAACAGGAGAGCAAAGAGCGGCCCGACGCAGGTGAGGAGAAAGCGCCTGGCTGCCCTGTGGGTTCAGGTGTCGGCTCTGAGGAAGTGCAGCGTCGCTGAAGACCTCATGAGCTAGGGCAGTGGCCCCTCCACGGGCAGTTTCTGAGGAAACCTGGAGCGTTCAGCAGCGCCCCCTCTCCCCCACCGCCAGAGTCACAGAGCAGACATACAAACATGGGACAGTTTCATATGGGGAGATTCTGGCGACAGCAAGGCCATAAACACGATGTCTGTATCTATAAAATGCCAGAACGGCCCAGATCAAGGCCTGCAGAGTGTGGGCTTGGTAGGAGGTCAGGAGTATTAAATGAACTTCCCTGTGGCTCAGACGTAAAGCGTCTGCCTACAATCCGGGAGACCCAGCTTCGATCCCTGGGTCGGGAAGATCCCCTGGAGAAGGCAATGGCAACCCACTCCAGTACTCTCGCCTGGAAAATCCCATGGACGGAGGAACCTGGTAAGCTACAGTCCGTGGGGTCGCGAAGAGTCGGACATGACCGAGCGCCTTCACCTCACCTGTAATTGATTTTACTATACNTCCTCCAGGGGATCTTCCTGACTTAGGGATCGAACCTGTGTCTCTTACATCTCCTGCATTGGCAGGCAGGTTCTTTATCACTAGCGCCACCTGGGAAGCCTCACAAATCCACAACAGGTATTATTAGCATGCCATTTCACGCAGAGGTTCTGCCAGTTTCCTAAACCGCACAGGTAGGGAGTAACAGGAGGCATATGAACTCAGGAAGCGTGGTCCTGGCCTCTGCCCTCTTACTCAGGACACCAGAGAACAAGACAGGTGCCGGTGCTCCAGAAACACAGAGAGCACAGGATGGGACTGGGAGCCAGCTGGCATTCCTGAAGTTCAAAAAAGGTCCCAGTGACTTCACTGCCTTTCCAAAACGAGACCAGAAAATCACACACAGGTCCACAGAAACAGAATAGCAACAAAGATTAAAAACAGGCAAAAAACAAGACTCCCAGACTAAGGGATGCCACAGACCTGCTGCCTTGTGATTTCAGCAAAGCCTCTGAGAATTCTCATAGTAATGAGATAAACCGGATGCAGAGACAGCCAGGGCTGGAAGCAGAGCTGGGAGAGTCAGCAACTGCTCCCCAAAGAGTGTCCGCAACGCCTCTGACTCCCAGCATCCCAGAAGGAGCTTCTGATCGTCTTTTGAGAGCCTTTATATTTTTAAACAGTGATTTATGTGAAGCGATTCTGATCGACACAATGAGCGACAAGAAGCCAAGAGTGAGGGCTGACATGAACAATGACAGATGGGAAGCCCAAGGAGTGTGAGGGGAAACAAAAAGCCAGATCTGATGGCAAATCCCCCCAGGGATGGTAATGATGGACACACACAAGAGCTTAATGTTTGCCAGACACCTGCAACAGACAGCTCTCTATGCTTTCCATACATATTGTCTCAGTCTCCACAAACCCTCTGAGACGGCACTACTAACTGCAGCTTAGGAACAGGGAAGCTGAGGGTCAGACAGGTTAAGTATTTGTAACTCGCTCCAGAAGAACCTGTCCTGAACCCACACAGTCTGGCTCCAGAGCCCCACCAGTATGCCGCAGTGTAGGTCTCAGGAGTCAAGAGCATGAGGACAAAGTGGGGAGACTGACTCCACAGCAACACTGAGACAAAGACCAGACAATTTCTGCTGACCAACCACTTGAAGGCGGTCCAAGATTATCTTCAGATATCCGAAAGGGCATTGCATGGAAGAGAAGGGTCGCTTATTACTGTGTCTTCCAGGCAAGAGAAGCTGGTGGGGTGGGGTTCAAAGTGCTGTGGATTTCAGTTCATTATGAAGAAGGATTTTTTTTTAAAAAAAAAATCAGAGCTGAATAACCCACAGATGGACCCTGGAAGTGTTTTAGCCAAGGTGGGGAGCCATGTGTCTGGGACAGCCTAGGTGAAATCCACAAGGCTCTCCAGAATTAGCAGGAATCCTGATTTTTGGGGTGAGAGGGAAGACCAACCTCCTCAAACATACGATCCATTCTGATTCTGTACTCTGACTTCTGGCACAAATCCGTCTGGCATTCTGAACTACACACCGAGGACAGGCCTGGGAAGAAGTGGCACATAGATCCCTTAAATATTAATTTATATCTGATTTTTGAATGTGTTTCTGGATGAACATTTCATCATAAAGCTATCTAGATGCAGACAGAAGTTAGAGAACTCATGCTACATAGTACTCCTTGCACACTGACTTCAGTTACATGGTCAGCGATCTGATCCTCTGAAAAACACATGTCAGGCTGAACAGAGCATGATGCCATCGCTGTCCTAATTAAGCCCTTCTTAGCTTTTTTTTTTTGTTTTTTGCATCAGGTTTTGCTGTAACACAAGCAGAGACGGACAGAGGTAATTTCTCCTACTTTGTATTCCATTGTGAACCTGGCCCTGACACTGCTCTTCTGAGGACCAGCACATGTCCTGGGTGGGTGAGATCACAGGAGTTCTGGGGCAGGTGAGGCAAGGGGAAGAGCCTTCCAGCCTGCTGTAATAAACGCAAAGCAGGAATGGAAGGGGCTGCCTGATCATTGCTTAGCTCGCAAAGGTCAGCAAGTGGGAAGGAGGAGGGCTGAGTCTCTCATCCCTGGAGCTGTCCATCAGGAGCTCTGTACAGATTCACGGGGCGCAAAGGGGGCTGGACTGGCCGACACTTCAGTAAGGCCTTTTCCAGCTCTCAAGTTCATGTTCCGGCAGAGCACAGAGTGACACGCTCCTGTCTGGAAATCAAGCCACTTACCCGGCCTCGCTCGGTCAGAGTCGTCAACATGACGATGAGTGATAACTTCTGATCCCAGACCACTTGCCAAAATTGTGCACAGGTATGTGGCAGGGGTCCCTGAGCGGCAATGTACTTGTTCACCAGGTGAGCAGCAGGAATTTCCATCTGGCAAGAGATAGTTCAGGCATTAGAACCTGTTACTGCAGCAAGGTGGACAGGGAACTGGAGCTCACACACTTCTAGCTGGTGACTGTCAGCACACCAGAACAGTTCTACCAAGTTTTGGCCAATAAGCATAATCAAAGAACAAGCTACTTTAGAAAATGCTTCAAAGGTGTTTGACAATAATGCTAGCTACTCAGGATAAAACTATGTGCTAGTCAATAGGTGATAATCAGAAGTGGACCTACGAGATGAAAAAGAGTTTAAATGACCTTCTCTGCTGTATCCTAAATACAATCAAAATTGGGAATCAGCATTTTCAGCAACTCATGCCAATCCTCATGCCCATAACTGTTCCTATGCAGGGTTTTCTATCAAAATATTTTCTTTGAAGCATAAACCACACAGGCTTATGCCACCAACTACTGTTATACTTCGCTTTTTGCATGGCTGCCAATGTTTGTGCCACTCAGTTGATCAATTTTTCTCCCCAGCTTCATTGAGGTATAAATGACAAATAAAAAAGGTATATATTTAAGGTATGCAACATGATGGTTTGATATACATATACACTGTGAAATGATGATCAGAGTCAAGTTCCTGAACACATCACCACCTCACATAGTTACTGTCGGAGTTGATTAACGCTAAAATGTTAAAATAAGTACAACTGTCATCAGTATCCCTCTCCTACCCTGCTCTGCTTTTACTTCTAAACTAAGTCTTTTCTTTTTTTTTTAATTTTTAATTATTTATTTGTCTGTGTCTGGTCTTAGTTGTGGTATGCAGGATCTAGAGTGTGTGGGCTTATTAGCTGGCATGTGGGATCCTGGTTTCCTGACCAGGGGTTGAACCCATGTCCCTTGTATTGGAAGCCAGATTCTCAACCACTAAACTAGCAGTGAAGTCCTTAAACCGAATGTTTTCTGTAAAAGAACACTCAGAACTGGCTGAGCTTTGGAACAGCACAGTGATTCACTCATTCTTAGGTGGGGATAGTAAACGGAGGTGCCTAATTCATGGCTTGGTTAATGGCTTTCTCAGCCCTGATCTTAGCCACTCCCCACCCCTGAGTGCATGGTCTTACCGCCCCCACCATTTCAGTGCTCTAATCACAGGACACCAGAAATGCTGAAAGTGAGGGTCAATGAATCTCACAGATGCTCTGGAATGAGCAGAATCACTGATCAGACCCATTCTTGCTGGTAGTTATTGACATCATGCTATAATCTGAGAATTTGAGAAGTCCTCTGTTTATTTAGATCAGATAAACAGTGTGCTGAGGGCCAAATTTAAATGCTGAACTGCGAGCTAACAGTGTTTTTTGATATTTTTGCATGGTTGCATTTGAAATGGTATATAAATACCTAATTAATATCCTCAATTTTGTCTCTTGGCTTGCAGAGACCAAAATATTTATGGTCTAGCCCTCTACAGAAATAGTGTGCTGAGCCCTGGTTTAGATGAAGAGGCTGAGGTTCAGAGAGGCCAAGTTGCCCAAGATACATTTTCAGACTCAAATGAAGACTGAGTTTTGGTCTCATCTTCTGTTAGCTTTACGACTTTTCAGATGATTTAATCTCTCTGAACCTCAGTGTCATCCTCTGTATAATGAGACTATCCTGCCTTCCCTCAATGGCTGCTGTGGTGCTGAGACAAGAAAGTGAATAGGAAAGCAGTTCGCCGACTGCAAAGCACCACGCATGTCATTGTCATGCTTGTTACAACGATTATTTATATATTAAGAGAAAAATCTTCCCAGTAAGAAATTCTACAACCCCATGAGAAACTGATTAAATTCTTCAATATATATGGACTTTTTTTTAACATGAGACTCTTGGGGGAAAAAAGTCATAGGAAGGCGTGTGAGTCACAGATAATGGATCACAGTAAGTAAAACTTCACCTTCATGACAATTATTTGACAAGAGCTAAAAGCAAGTAGAGGAAAAAAAAGAGTTCTGACTAAAAATTAAATAGAAATCATTTACATTAGTCTAAAAACATTTACCTCCAATTTAATGGAGTGAACCACGTTCTTTGCCAAGAACAAGAGCATTTTCATTCATCATTTCAGAAGTATACCTCCACAGCAAAAATATTTATTTCAATACATAGTAAACTTCAATTAAATATTCCTTTAAGGAGGTATGTCCCTATACATGCAATCACTAGCAAAAATTCAGTTAAAACCCTCACTGCATATCTAGAAGCACATATTAGACACATTTGTACTGTACCTGACGTCATGTTAACAACATCTCTAGGAAAGGTATTAATAGTATTCTACTTTGCAAGCAAGAGGCATAGATGAAATGCTTGGCTCAAGATTATAAATGAGAGGCTGAACTCAGATCTGACTCTAATGCTTGAGCTCTTCTCTTTGAAAAAGAAAGAAAGATAGTGCTAAGTCATGTCTGACTCTTGCGACCCTATGGACTGTAGCCTGCCAGGCTCCTCTGTCCATGGGATTTTCCAGGAAAGAATACTGGAGCTGGTTGCCATTTCCTTCTCCAGGGGATCTTCCTGATCCAGGGATGGAACCCGAGTCTCGTCTCCTGCATTAGCAGATGGGCTCTTTACTAGCTGGGCCACCAGAGAAGCCCGAAGACACATCTATTCCTTCCCAGTTTCCTCCTGCCCTTTTGAGTTCTCTTTTCTATACAACTGTATCTGCCATTTCAATCTAGAGTGTGAAACAATATTCACCAGTGGTTTTAGTTAACTTTGTGGGAATTCTAAAAGTTTTTTTTTTCCCAGTGTTGGAAGTGATTTTTTTGCAGAAAATTTGACAAATTCAGACTAATATAAACAAAAAAGAGTATCAGTAACTTCACAACCCTGAGATGTCCCTTTTCATCTATTTTATGATTTTTATGCACACATGTATACAAATGTATGTAATTATATGTGTAACTACATATAATACACAGATACATTACTTTTTTAAAAACAAAACATGAGACAACATATATTAGCACTTCCTATATTATGTTCTATGGAACCCAACTATTCTGGAAAAAAATATACTAGGTGGTGCTTGAAATAAGTTTCAAGGTCAAGGAAATTTAGGTAATACTATAAGTCATCTTATATTCTATGAATCTCTAACATGGCAAGTCCTGCAGTGCATAAGCTTATTTAATTCTGATTAGAGCATTTCTCAAGCTAACTTGGCCATGGAGGATCTCATGTCTCACAAGAAGTGTTCTGGGAACTATCACCATAATTTTGAAGGCTGTTTCTCGTACTTATTATATAATGTCTAGTTTCCTGTGTCATTTAAATACTTGAAATATTCTCTATATACATGATTCCAGCTGGCTCAACAATCTATAAGTTTTCAAAGTTTAACTTTTATTCCACTTCTTGATTAAACTGTTTTTAATTTTCTACTATCAAATATTCCCAGGAACAGAATTACTGAATTAAAGCATATTTTTGAGGATATACACACACACACACACACATGTATGTACATAGTGGAGGTGTCCTACAGGGAAATATGAGAATGGTTAGTTAGCCAAATTGCAGCCAGCATCAATTAAAATGTGTCTGCAGTCTGAATACAGACACAGAATAATGTCTTTCCCTGTATATTTTTGCATATTTTATATTTTTTATTTTATAAACCAGCTTTGTTGGTCTGCTCCATTTTTTACTCCAATCAGTTCTTTCATTAAACAAACAAACTGCACAGGAGACAATTAGCAGAGAGATTTTTGGTAATGATAATTATGTCTCATACATTTACCAAATGTTCAGAATTTCCGGTATTTCCCTAAGCTCAAATATTAATCATCTTTACAATTTCAGCTCCTAACAATCAAGTAGCCACTGAGAAACTTCTTAGATGTCTACGAGCTTTAATGGACTCTCCAGGCTCCTTCTAGAAATACATTCGTGATTTATTAGAAGTTTTGGTTTGATTCCGGGAGAAGGAGAATATCTGAGTCAGTCAATTCCCCTAAATGTCATTTTGGTTCTAACTAACTTCATAGAAGTGAAATCTAATTGAGTGAATATAATCAGTAATACTAACCTGGAGGCAGGAAGTTTTTCTTTTCCAAATAACAAAAATGTAAATGTAATCAACTTGAGATGGTTTAGTGGAAAAGCATAGATCTAGCAAAGGGCTTTAACTGCAACAAGTTTATGAAGTATCTCAGCAGTAAGTAAGTGCTGATAAGATTATAGAATATTAAAGCAAAATAAAAAATAAAGTAATATAGAACTATCTGTAAAACTTTAAATGTGCACACCCTGGGCTTTACTTGACAGAAGTGCATAAAGATACATATCAAAGAAATTTATCTGCATCAGGATATTTTCTTATTAGCAGGCAACTGGAAACAGCCCGAATATTTCCTAATAGGGAGAAGTGTCAACTTAAATTATGACAGTCACACCACAAATTACATGCATATAGAATAAGACGGACTAAAAGTACAGATTTAAAAGGATATCCACTCATCTATTTAAGTGAAAAAAGGAAGTGGCAGAATAACATAGTGATGATCCCATTTCTACACATAGCAGTATATGCACAATGTGTGTACAATGTATGTATGTGCACTTACATACATGTGTGTATAAAATATATTTGCATGAGAAATAGAACAAGTACGCAAGGATACACATAAAATTGTTAGTTAATTATAACAGAAAGAAGCTAAAGGAGATTTCTGAATTACTTAATTATTACAATGTGAATTTTTAAAAATTCAGATGAAATAAGAGCTACAACAAAAGAAATTTACATATAAAACTAAAAAATTTTTTACAAAAAATGAGTGAGCAAAGCTAAGTTTTTGGGTTTTTTTTGGCCTTTAGAAGGATTGACGACGCACTCATTTTTATGCCTGCCTTGCCAAGGCTAATACTGAACGCTCTTCCCACTGGATTGCTTCAGTCCTATTCACACACTTAGTTTCTGAAGGAGTTAGGAGTTGGTTTTCCAGTTCTTTTAATTTACTGACTCTTCTCCAGACTTCGCAAGCTGTGTGGCAGGCTGGGTGT